CTTTGAGTCAGATTTAGAGGACCTTAAGCATGAGGTACGTCAAACTAGGCGGCTTCTTGGGAGGAAAAAATTGATTAGAGAGTCCCTATTGGACTTCCTTGTCCTTTTGGAACGTTTGGAAAGTGTTTCATGAGCTTTTGAGGCTTGCAAAGATCTTTTAAATACCTGTCAGTACTGCGTCTTGTGAAATAAGTTTCTCTGCCCTAAAACTTATTAAAAACCATCTCAGAACTACCATGGCAGATGATTGAGTCATCTTGGTATCCTCAGTGTATCCTCAGTGTAGAGTCAAGGAGGGCTCAGGGCTGAATATGGATGAGTTTGTCAACATCTTTGCTGCTTTACACCAGAACCGTAGGAATTTTCTAAATTTGTTAAAAGAAAAATGTAATGAAATGTTTGAATGTTATTTTGCACTTTTTTTTTCAGACTACTATTTAAATACACTTTTTTGCTTTGTAGTTTCCAAGTGTGCTCTCAGTTCACTTTATATTAAAAATAATGACAAGATGAATATTAAAATGTATCGTTTAGCCAGTTTTTGTATGAAATAAAATTTCGGAATAGTATAAATGTGGACCCCTTAAAAAAAACCTTGCCACCCCCTGGCCACCCTCTGTTTAAAAGTCTGGCTCCGCCACTGATGGTATGCCCTCCGAGAGATGGGTCAAGCGGAGGGACCTGGTGAGTAGTGTTGTGTGTGCTTCGGCCGAACGTGCGTTAGCTCCTCTAAGCTACGAGGCTAAGCACGGGGTTTCCCACTCCAGGGGCTCGCCCCCCCCTCCATGAGGCAAGAGCCTGGGGGGGGCGGAGCAGTCGAGTCACATTGCATGAGCAGGCCCGGACTTATGACGTCGGGCCTGCAGGACACGTGACCGCACACGGAATGACGCAGGGGGCCCCTCTGTCCTTTCGTTCACCCCCCCTCCCTGCTAGGAACACCAGGAGAAGGCTCTCCAGGTCTCGTGTTCCAGTTCCCGTTCCGCCCCTCACAGACTTCCACAGCATCTGGAGGGAGCAGGGCTGACTGTCGGATCCGTGGCTAGAGAAGACCATGCGCAGGGGCTACGCATTGCAATTCTCCCGAAAACCACCGCCGTTCCGGGGCGTGCGGGCAGCACGCTCTCAGGTACGGGGATCATTAGTGGCACTGCAAGTGGAGGTCTGCTCTCTGCTAAGTCAAGGCGCAGCAGTAGAGGTAGACCCACAGGACGCCACCAGGGGGCTCTACTCCCCTTACTTCTTAGTGCCAAAGAAGTCAGGAGGGGTGCGTCCCATTCTGGATCTGCGCACTTTGAACGAGTGCATTTCCAAGCGTCAGTTTCGGATGCTGTCCACAAAACAGCTCCTGGAGTGTGTCAGGCAGGGAGATTGGATGTCCTCCATAGACCTGACAGACGTTTATTTTCACGTGGCGATAGTTCCGGAACACAGGAAGTTCCTGCGCTTCGCAGTGGGAGAGAGGAGTTACGAGTACTGCCGTCTCCCCTTCGGTTACGCGCTCGCGCCTTGGACTTTCTCAAAGTGTGTGGAGGCGGCACTGGAGCCGCTCAGACGCGCGGGGGTAAGAGTATTAACCTATATAGACGATTGGTTAATACTGGCCTCGTCCAGGGAAGTGGCCGTGAGTCACACGCACTGGGTCCTTTCCCACATACAGCGTCTGGGCTTTGTGGTGAACAGGGAGAAGAGCAGGCTGCAACCGGCTCAGCGCATGATCTATCTCGGCCTGCAGCTAGACTCTGTGACGTTCCGTGCTGCACTGCCCTCTTGCTGGCGTTGGCTTCACCCCTCCCGGGACGGGGAGAAGCTGATCCGGGTTCCCCAAACTGCAGCGTTCTGGCTCACTCCGGGTCTATTGCGGGACGGAGTGACTCTGGTCTGCACCGTGTCTCACGTGGAGGTGTTCACGGACGCGTCACTCGAGGGTTGGGGCGGGGTCCTCGGTCAGAGCTCCGTAGGAGGCTGCTGGTCGGACTCAGCCCGCCACATCAACCTTCTGGAGATGGAGGCAGTACACAGGGTGCTGCTGCACTTTGCTCCTCAGCTGCAGGGGAGACACGTGATGGTTCGCTCAGACAACACCACTGTGGTGTCTTATCTGAACAGACAGGGAGGCACCAGATCCCCCGCTCTCCATCGCATGGCGACGGTGACGCTGCTGTGGGCGGCGCTTCACCTCCTGTCCCTGAGGGCGCGCCACGTCTCGGGTGCCCGGGAAGTGGGTGCCGACAGGATGTCCAGGGGGGGGCCCACTCCAGGACGAGTGGGGCCTGGCCCCGCGGATAGCTACAGAGGTCTGGCGGAGATTCGGCCGCCCAGTGGTCGACCTTTTCGCCAGTGCAGAGAACGCACAGTGCCCGTCCTGGTTCGCCTTAAGGGCCGCGGACGAACCGCCCTTAGGGGTGGACGCCCTGGCTCACTACCCCTGGACAGGGGGCCTGCTGTATGCGTTTCCACCAGTTCGTCTCCTGCCGGTCCTGCTGCGGAAGATCGAACAGGAGGGAAGGTCGGTGGTGCTGGTGGCTCCGGACAGTCCACATGCCCGGTGGTTCCCTTTCCTGAGGGGCTTGGCGGTGATGGAGCCTTGGGCCCTCCCGGACGAGCCGGGGTCACGGCGGTTTTGGGGGGTTCACGGCCCGTTCTCATCCGTTCTTCGCCCGCAGGAGGAGGCCCCCGCTTCAGAGAACGCCCCCGCTTTGGGACCTCAGGGTGGTCCTTAGGGGTCTTTCGGGCCCGCCTTTTGAACCGGTATCGGAGGCGAGTCCCGAGTGTGTGGTTTTTAAGACTGCCCTCTTGCTGGCGTTGGTGTCTGCTGAGAGGGCGGGCGACTTTTGTGCGCTCTCCGTCCATGCGTCTTGCCTGTCCTTTGGAGAGGGTGACGGACTGGTGGAGTTGTGGCCCAATCCGGCTTTTCTCCCTAAGGTCATCACTTCGGCCTTCAGGTCGAGAGTGATCAGGATTAGGGCTTTCCATCCGCCGCCGCATGCCTCCCCAGAGGAGGAGTGGCGGCACCTTCTGTGTCCTGTCAGAATCCTTCAGGTTGGTTGATCAGCTGTTTGTGTGTCTGGGCCCCAAGAACAGGGGCGCCCAGCTGTCGTCTCAGCGGCTGGCGCACTGGGTCGCCACGGCTGTGCGGCGGGCGTATCAGGCTCAGGGCCTGGCCCCCCCGGTGGGTTTCAGGTCGCACTCCTCAGGAGGGGGCTTCGGTCGAGGACGTGTGCCGTGCGGCTTCTTGGGCTTTGTCCTCCTCTTTCGTCCGGTCTTACCTTTGATATGTGTCGGACCGGTCGGTGGCCCATTCCGTGCTTAGTGCAGCGGATTGAGTTGAAACCGTGAGGTTCCTCTTCCGAGGGGTCTACGGTTGACTTGTCCGCCCTGGTTCAGGAGCTCTTGGGAGAGGCGTCCTGCAGGTGCGGTATGTGTGTGCTTTTGGTCAGTTAGGTAGTCCACGTCAGGAGCTCTTGGGAGAGGCGTCCTGGGACTACGGGTGGCCTTCGGTCTGTGTTACTTGGGGGTGTCCTTGGGAGGAGCGGCCCTGTAACACACAATTGATTATTCTTCTGCCCTGAGTCCTCTCACTGTGTGAGGGTCTTGCTCGGGCGGCTGGGAGTACATGTTCCTACGGCCTCCGCGTTGTGTCCCACTAGCGAAGTCCTAAGGGACGTAGCACCACGACGTAGAATTAATAGTTACTTATTTAACTTAAGTTCTACGAAAAGGTGCGTAGTCCCTTAGCTACGAGCCCATCAGGCCAGCCCGGCTTGGCAGAGTTCAAGAGGGGGCGCGGCCTTGTGCAGGGGCTTTTATAGAGGAGGGTCGCTAGTGATTGGAGCATATTTATATATATTTGATCTCTCTGGCGTGTGACCTGAGGGTCACGTGATATCCCACTAGCGAAGTCCTAAGGGACTACGCACCTATTCGTAGACCTTAAGTTACATAAGTAACTATTAATTATGCATTTTTTGGCCTCTCACATTTTTAGATCAGCTTCTCGAGACCAAAAAGTGAAAAAACAGGACCGCCCTCACTCAGCCAATCATCTCTCAGCCCAAAGCGTCAAATAGTGACTCCCAGGGCTCTTTCTTTCACGCTAACAAAAGATAACGTGTTTTCTAATAACATGAAGACAGGCCTGACTCGTTCACAAACTATGCCTGGGAGCTGCTTCAGTCCTGCACCTGTCCTCGTTCTACAGTCTGAGTCCTGGGTCTACAGCCCGTCTGTCCATGTGGAGCGGATCCCTCTCTCTGTGGATCCGAGGTTTCTCACTTTTTCTACCACTGGCTTTTAGAGTTTTTCCTCTGATGCAGGAGTCTGTTCAACATTTAGTGTCTAAAAAAAAGGAATGTGATGATCCAGGACACTTTAACATTCTACAACATGTACGGACCATCAACGTTCATGGTCATTGGTCTCTCCTATGGACCAATACCATGTGTTCTATGGTGTCTTAATCTCTGATCTGTGTTGACGATTTCACCGGTTTTGTTTAGTTCTCTGAGATGACTGTTGTTGTGATTTAGGGCGATACAAGAATGCATTGAATTGAATTAATCTGTATTTATTCATTCATTCATTTTCAGATGGAGTAAAGTGCTACAATGAAAACACAGAGAGTAAAGGGCCACAATGAAAACACAGAGAGTAAAGTGCCACAATGAAAACACAGAGAGTAAAGTGCCATAATGAAAACACAGAGAGTAAAGTGCCACAATGAAAACACAGAGAGTAAAGTGCTACAATGAAAACACAGAGAGTAAAGTGCCACAGTGAAAACACAGAGAGTAAAGTGCCACAATGAAAACACAGAGAGTAAAGTGCCACAGTGAACAAGATTTGCCAACGAGACAAAGCCGTTTAGTTTTTTTTCCAAGAACTGTTGCTTTATTTTCTCAGTCTTGTATCTTTATAAAACATGTTTGCCTGTTCCAAATGCAAATCTTTTTTTAAGGCAGTCAAAATGTGCTCAGATTAGGAGTCCACACTTCTCCCCATCACAGAGACACATTTCCCAGTCCAGTCTGCGGTCCAGGTGGACTCCCAGTCCAGTCTGCGGTCCAGGTGGACTCCCAGTCCAGTCTGCGGTCCAGGTGGACTCCCAGTCCAGTCTGCGGTCCAGGTGGACTGTCTGCGGTCCTGGTGGACTCCCTGTCCAGTCTGCGGTCCAGGTGGACGCATGGTCCAGTCTGCCACAGGTCTGTAGTCATTGAACGTAAGACTTTAGAACCACAGACACATGTTCAGTATAAGACATTAGAACCACAGACACATGTTCAGTATAAGACTTTAGAACCACAGACACATGTTCAGTATAAGACTTTAGAACCACAGACACATGTTCAGTATAAGACTTTAGAACCACAGACACATGTTCAGTATAAGACTTTAGAACCACAGACACATGTTCAGTATAAGACATTAGAACCACAGACACATGTTCAGTATAAGACTTTAGAACCACAGACACATGTTCAGTATAAGACTTTAGAACCACAGACACATGTTCAGTATAAGACTTTAGAACCACAGACACATGGTCAGTATAAGACTTTAGAACCACAGACACATGTTCAGTATAAGACTTTAGAACCACAGACACATGTTCAGTATAAGACTTTAGAACCACAGACACATGTTCAGTATAAGACTTTAGAACCACAGACACATGTTCAGTATAAGACTTTAGAACCACAGACACATGGTCAGTATAAGACTTTAGAACCACAGACACATGTTCAGTATAAGACTTTAGAACCACAGACACATGTTCAGTTCTGACGTTTTGGTTCCACCTATTACTCATCTTGTCAATCTCTCAATCACCCACAGTGTTTTTCCTACAAATTGGAAGCAAGCTATAGTTACTCCAATTCATAAAGCTGGAGATCAAAATGACGTTGTCAACTATAGGCCTATAAGTATTTTACCAATAATCTCTAAAATCACTGAGAAAATTGTATGTGAGCAAATGACAACCCATCTAAATTCAATTAGTAATGGCTTACACCATCTACAGTTTGGCTTCAGGAAAGCCTACTCCACCGAAACTGCCACTCTACATCTAACTGAGCAAATTAAAGCTATGCTTGATAAAGGAGGAGTTGTTGGTGCAGTCTTCTTAGATTTAAAGAAAGCTTTTGATTTAGTTGACCATAATATTCTTGTTTCTAAACTTTCTAATTTTGAATTCTCTGGTAAAACACTGGCATGGGTGACTTCATATTTGGCCGACAGGATGCAGTGTGTTAAGGTGAAGGACGCCTGCTCGAGCTATTTGGAATGCACAATGGGCGTGCCTCAGGGGTCTGTGTTAGGCCCCTTGCTTTTCAGCCTCTATATTAACGACCTTGCACAATGCTGTAAAGGTGTGCAATTACAATTGTACGCTGACGATACAATTTTGTATTCTCATGCTAAAAGCAGTCACCTGGCAGCTGAACAACTGTCCAAAGCTATGGTTTCTGTGTCTGAATGGCTGGAGCAGTCTCGTCTGAGTTTGAACGTGGGCAAAACAAAAGCCATGTTCTTCTCAAAAACTAATGTCAAAACCCCAACTTCAGACATTTTCTTTAAGGGTGAGAAAATCGACACCGTGTCTGATTTTAAATATCTTGGTGTTACACTGGATTCTAACTTGAATTTTAAAATACATATTAAGAACATGATAAAGAAAATTAGGTATAATGTAATCAACTTCAGACATATTAGATCTTGTCTCTCTTTGGAGGCAGCCAGGATATTCATGCACGCTCTTATTTTTTCCCACTTGTCTTACTGCATCACCTGTTGGGGACAGGCTGGAGAAACCGCAATTAGACCGTTAGAGTCCGTGTACAACCAAGCCCTAAAGATTTTTGATAAAAAGCCATTTAACCATCATCATTGTAGCATCGTGACAAAATACAATTTCTTGAGTTTTGAAAATTTTAAAACTTTCTCATATCTATGTTTGGTCTTTAAGATCCTGAAGGGCTTGGCTCCTGGCTGTTTACAAACGTTTGTGCGACAGCGCCTTGGGAGTTCTTTAAGATCTACTCGAGCAGCTTCTCTACATGATTGCATTGTACCTTTCCGTCATTCCACCTTTGGTCAATCAGCGTTTGCAGTGAAGGCTGCAAAACTGTGGAACCAACTACCTGACAATATAAAGACATGCACGACCATCAAGGGCTTTAAAACTGAACTCAAAAAGCATCTAAAAAGTAGCCAGCATTGTACACACTAGCCATGCCAGCCCTCTTTGGTTTTTACACTCCCTCTGGTACTGACTTATTTGTCTGTATTTGTGTTGTTGATGTGTCTTGTCTGGGTTTTATGAATCTGTAATGTTGTATGTGGTTTGTCTTTCCTGGTCGACCCCTTGTCTTGTGAATCTTGTCTTTTTTCTGTTATGGGTCGTCCGTTCCCTGCCAGGGACTGCAGATGTAAATTAGCCTCAGGCTAACTCTGGTACAATGCATCAAATGGCAACATTTATGTTATAATTGTACATGGTCCCTTTTAAATAAATAAACTAATAAAAAAAAAAAAAAAAAAGTATAAGACTTTAGAACCACAGACACATGTTCAGTATAAGACTTTAGAACCACAGACACATGTTCAGTATAAGACTTTAGAACCACAGACACATGTTCAGTATAAGACTTTAGAACCACAGACACATGTCCAGTATAAGACTTTAGAACCACAGACACATGTCCAGTATAAGACTTTAGAACCACAGACACAATGGGGGTGAAGTGTCTTGCTTAGGACATAGCGACAGCAGACAGTGGGAGTCGATGTTGAAAGTCGGGCTCGAACCCACGACCATCTGCCAGTGTGTAGAGCCAAACATTAGGTAACTCTGATTTACCTAACCTTGTTAAGATAAGATAGGATGCTTTATTTATCTCACAAGGAGAAATGTACATGTCACGTTTAGCATGGATAGAACACTCAGATTGTGCAAAAGGAGGAAATGTGCAAACATGTTACATGCAGGATATATATGTACAATAAAAGTGACAATTTAAAGTGGCAGTCAGATATAGTGTCAATAGTAGTAGTGCAGGTTTATTTTTAAGTCTTATACAGTGACTTAAAGTGACTTATTGTACAGTCTGACAGCGGTGGGGATAAAGGCCCTGCGGTAGCGCTCCTTCCTACACTGAGGGTGCCTCAGTCTTCCACTGAAGGAGCTCCTCAGCTCCTCCTCAGTCCTGTGCAGTGGGAGGTATTGTTCATGATGGAGGTGGCTTTGGCTCACCCTCCTGTCCCTCACCTCCTCCACAGAGTCCAGGGGCCTCCTGTCCCTCACCTCCTCCACAGAGTCCAGGGGCCTCCTGTCCCTCACCTCCTCCACAGAGTCCAGGGGCCTCCTGTCCCTCACCTCCTCCACAGAGTCCAGGGGCCTCCTGTCCCTCACCTCCTCCACAGAGTCCAGGGGCCTCCTGTCCCTCACCTCCTCCACAGAGTCCAGGGGCCTCCTGTCCCTCACCTCCTCCACAGAGTCCAGGGGCCTCCTGTCCCTCACCTCCTCCACAGAGTCCAGGGGACTCCTGTCCCTCACCTCCTCCACAGAGTCCAGGGGCCTCCTGTCCCTCACCTCCTCCACAGAGTCCAGGGGCCTCCTGTCCCTCACCTCCTCCACAGAGTCCAGGGGCCTCCTGTCCCTCACCTCCTCCACAGAGTCCAGGGGCCTCCTGTCCCTCACCTCGTCCACAGAGTCCAGGGGCCTCCTGTCCCTCACCTCCTCCACAGAGTCCAGGGGCCTCCTGTCCCTCACCTCCTCCACAGAGTCCAGGGGCCTCCTGTCCCTCACCTCCTCCACAGAGTCCAGGGGCCTCCTGTCCCTCACCTCCTCCACAGAGTCCAGGGGCCTCCTGTCCCTCACCTCCTCCACAGAGTCCAGGGGCCTCCTGTCCCTCACCTCCTCCACAGAGTCCAGGGGCCTCCTGTCCCTCACCTCCTCCACAGAGTCCAAGGGCCTCCTGTCCCTCACCTCCTCCACAGAGTCCAGGGGCCTCCTGTCCCTCACCTCCTCCACAGAGTCCAGGGGCCTCCTGTCCCTCACCTCCTCCACAGAGTCCAGGGGCCTCCTGTCCCTCACCTCCTCCACAGAGTCCAGGGGCCTCCTGTCCCTCACCTCCTCCACAGAGTCCAGGGGCCTCCTGTCCCTCACCTCCTCCACAGAGTCCAGGGAGCAGCCCAGAGTGGAGCTGGCCCTCCTGACCAGCTTGTTCAGTCTGTTTCTGTCCCGCTCTGTGCTGCCCGGGGCCCAGCACACGGCAGTGTAGTAAATGGCAGAAGCTACCACAGAGTCATAAAAAGTCCTGAGCAGAGGCAGAGACCTGCAGATGGAGAGGGGGGAGAATCAAACCGGTTGAAGAATTGGTTAAATTCATCCGCCCGGTGCTGGTCTCCATCCGCTGTCCCGCTGGCCCTTTGTCCACAGCCAGAGATGTTCTTTAGTCCTCTCCACACGTCGCGGGCGTTTCCCTGGGCCAGCTTCTGCTCCAGCTTTTTCCCATATTCCCTCTTGGCCCTCCTGATCCTCCACTGGAGCTCGTGCTGGATCCTCTTCTGCTCCTCTTTGTCCCCTGAGATGAAAGCCCTTTTCTTGAGGTTCAGGAGGGCTTTAAGCTCAGAGGTCATCCATGGGTGGTTGTTAGAAAAACACCGTACCTTCTTAGTTGGTACAGTGTTATCCACACAGAAGAGGATATAGTCTGTAATACAGTGTGTCAGGCCTTCAATGTCCTCACCATGAGAGCTGCAGATCATGTCCCAGTCTGTGCTTTGGAAACAGTCTCTCAGCCGCTCCTCAGCGTCATCGCTCCACACTGTAATACACATCCTCTGTGCTTAGGTTAGGTAGTGCGTGGAAGCTGAGGTTTGGTTCAATCTGAACAATAAACACATTTTGTTTAAGAAAAATGTAAATTGTCAATCATTCTGGCGATAGTTCTTGTCAATTAAGACCAGAGAGTTTTGTTCAGAAAGTGGAGAGGGAGGTTCTTTACTAAAATTTGGGAAAATCCTTCAATAAACCTTTAAGTAAAAAACAGTTGTTTGAAAAGAAACTCCCTTCTATTCTTTCAGCCTCAGACCAGTTCCTAGTCTTTAGTCTTGACTCCTCTATATAATATTATCTCACGCACTTCTTTCATGCAATGACACTTACTCGCCAGTAGAGGGAGGCCCCGCTCTGTGCAGCTGTAGCGGAAGTACTTTTATTTTGAAGTTGGATTAGATACCACATGTGCTCTTATTTTGAAATCCCGCGTCTGTCTGTGGTCCTTCCCTCTGAGCCGCGGAGGTCAAACTCGGCGGAGAACTCCCAGTCTGAGGTAAATACTGCCTAATAACGATAATGTGACATATTTTATTCAGCTGTCTCCTGTAAATCCATCTGTATGGGTTAGCTTGTTGGGTTTTTGTGAATGTCTTGTCGCGTGGCTGTGTCCTGTGTGTTGTTAGCTAGTTTGTTACATGTGTGTTAGCCTGTAGCCTGTAGCTCTCAGAACCAGAGTGAAGCCAATGCAACCATGTGTTTTTGACTTCTTATATTGTGTTGCATTGTATAATCTATGTGCTCTCAGATACAAGAAAACGTGTGGTTAATGTATGTGTAATAAACAGTTATTAAAGTTATTCATATGATAAGAAAGTGGCAAATAGGACTTCAAGACAAGAGTGAGATAGACACAAAGCCTCTATGCATCTGTAGTAACTGTGAGAACACATTATGCCAATGACAAAACGTATCATTTGGTGCCATAGATTTCAGCAGACAATATATAATGTGTTTATTTTGCCATTATTTTCACCAATACTCTGTTATTAAATACACAGTGTATCAAATGTATTGTTTGCATGTTCTAGAATGTACTTTTTAACGATCCAAGAATAAAACGACCATTTTGCTTCGACGATTATATAATATTGTCATTCATCTGAAAGGCTCAGCCAGTGGCAGTCCCTAAGGTTCATCCAAATGAAATATAGTCATAGGATATTATTACTTTGTCCTAAAAGGTAATGGGCAAGTTTTTAACATGGGCAAGTTTTTAACATGGGCAAGTTTTTAACATGGGCAAGTTTTTAACATGGGCAAGTTTTTAACAGGGCAAGTTTTTAACATGGGCAGTTTTTAACATGGGCAAGTTTTTAACATGGGCAAGTCACAGTTTTTTGGGCAACTCACAGTGATTTTTTTAACAATCACACAACTAGAGTTGCAACTAACGATTATTTTAATAATCGATTAATCTGTCGATTATTAATAAAAGAAGCATTTTTAGTTTCCATCCCGTTATTAAAAAACGTGGCCTTGGATCAACATAAAGAAACATACAAATGTATGTTTGCAGTATAAAGTAAAGTGCACAAAAACAGTGTAGGAGACACGTTTGGGCACTGTGTGAATGAATGGATGCTTGGGCGTGCATGTATGTGTGAGTGTGGGCGTGTGCGTGAGAGCCTGTCTGTGTGTGAGTGTGGGCGTGTGCGTGAGAGCCTGTCTGTGTGTGAGTGTGGGCCAGTGGGGGAGAGCCTGTCTGTGTGTGAGTGTGGGCCAGTGGGGGAGAGCCTGTCTGTGTGTGAGTGTGGGCCAGTGGGGGAGAGCCTGTCTGTGTGTGAGTGTGGGCCAGTGGGGGAGAGCCTGTCTGTGTGTGAGTGTGGGCCAGTGGGGGAGAGCCTGTCTGTGTGTGAGTGTGGGCCAGTGGGGGAGGGCCTGTCTGTGTGTGAGTGTGGGCCAGTGGGGGAGAGCCTGTCTGTGTGTGAGTGTGGGCCAGTGGGGGAGAGCCTGTCTGTGTGTGAGTGTGGGCCAGTGGGGGAGAGCCTGTCTGTGTGTGAGTGTGGGCCAGTGGGGGAGAGCCTGTCTGTGTGTGAGTGTGAGAATAGAAGAAGAATTAGCCAATGCTAACATATAGCGTTAGCAGACCTCTCAAAAACGTCTTTACAGGATGGACCAAAAGTTGGCTCTTGGCCCAAAGCTCCGTTCCACATGTGTGTCAAAGCTGAGGGGGGTGTTTTGGTCCACTCTAGTTTACTTGCTGTGAATTTTTGAAGTCTCTCGTTCAAATGAATGGAGCTGCGCCGGCTGACGCATGCGCAGATGCGTTTTTTCACCATTTTGTTGTGGGCGGGACCACTCACGGCCATTTTGGATTGCTCCAGTAGAGCACTTTTTTTGGCCCATTAGTTAGAACGGCTGAGATAGGCGTGACTCTGTCCGTTAATATATACAGTCTATGGTGTGGGCGTGTGCGTGAGTGTCTGTGTGTGAGTGTGGGCGTGTGCGTGAGTGTCTGTGTGAGTGTGGGCGTGTGCGTGAGTGTCTGTGTGTGTGTGGCAGAGGTGTGGACTCGAGTCATGTGACTTGGACTCGAGTCAGACTCGAGTCATGATTTTGATGACTTTAGACTCGACTTGACCAAATATAAAAAGACTTGCAACTCGACTTGGACTTTAACATCAATGACTCTGACTTTCACTCGGGACTTTAACATCAATGACTCTGACTTTCACTTGGACATGCGCCAATTGACTTGTAAAGACTTGCGTAACCCGGGCCATTTTTACCTTTCTCCGCATCTCTCTTTCTATCTATGCCGTCTCTGAAGAAACAAAGCCTCGCGGTAGTTGTAGCGCTCGCGAGAGAGTTCGAACGTGAGTTCCCCGCAGTTCGCGCAGCAACACATCCCTAAACAAGCGCACTGCATTCACCGGTGGGTGTGGAGCTGGAAATGAGCGAGCTGCAGGTATTTATCGCGACCTAACGTCATATTTTGTTCTACAAACCGTAATTGATATGCTTTCACTACAGGCGCCTCATACAATTGAATCGACGCAGTTGTCACACTGTGTGCCGTGTTTTAAAGAGGAACTGGTGAGTCAAACTAGCGCTAGCCTGCGCTGCTCTGTTAGCTCTTTCTTATATTTTTCTGTGTGGGCGCCGAGGCCTATTATTATGAGTATGTTTTTGCTGTGCTCCTCCTGCTAAAGTTTGCATACATTAGATAGTTTGAAGCATCCAGGAACAGCTCTTCCAGCATGCTGGAATCTCCGCTCCCAGACACAGCATGCCGGTCTCTCACGCAGAGGAAAAGAAACAGAGCAAGCTCCCCCAAAACAATCCAGAGAATGGCACAAACCGAGCCGCGCATTCTCCACCAAATCTGTTAGGATTAGGCAGAGAGAGACGGATCGTGGTGTGCCAAACTCTGGAAGTTTATTTAAGTTTCTCTCAAGTTCCACTAGTTTACTCTGTTTCTTTCCCTCAGACAGAATAAAGGCAGTACACAGTTTATATAGTCATTGTCACGTCACACATCGAAAGACATACGTGTCACAAAGAGACAGTCAAATCATAGTCATAACATGGAGTCCTTGTAGAGTCCTTGTACAGTCCTGCACGTAGGCCATATTGCTATCTAATACTAATAAGTTGTTTTGATTATGTGCACTAAGCTAGATTAATATTTGCACTATTGTTTATGGTGCATTGATATGAGAATCAGTGCTTTGACTGATTAGTGCTTTGACTGATTAATTTATATGAGACATTTTATTATGTAATGATATATTGGTAATTATGAGATATTACTAATGCTGGTCCAGTTCATACAGGCCAGGTTCCTTCCCCTCCATTGGTCCCTTCAGTCCTTTGCCCCCTCCCCCCTTTTTTTTTGATGGCGAGCTGCCCCAGGTCCAAAGCCTGGACCCCTCATACTACCCCTATCCTACAGTAGGACATTTGGAACAATAACCACTACGGACATTAAACTGATTATATAGATACAGGTCCTAGCCCAATACTGAGATTAATTGATTATAATATAAGCATACTATTCATATATGCTGCACTTGCTATTTCCCATTAAAAACCCCAAAGATAAAAAGTATGTTGACACGGACTGCTCTGATTTTATGTGTGGTCTGTGCATGTGTAACTGAGCCTGCATCTGGCACAACATCCAATTAGATCACGTAGATAGTTTTGATTTACCAGCAGCCAACGACATGGAACAAACTGTTAGTCCATGGGTCAGAGACCAACGAGAATGCACCAGCAAAATGATTCCTAACATTATTTTGTTTGCCTACAAAAGTACGTGGAGACCAACAAGAAACAAATCGCGGTCAAAAAGACTCGAGAGGACTCGAAAGTCAAACCGTAGGACTTGGGACTGACTTGAGATTTGTTGGCCTTTGACTTGGACTCGACTCGGGACTTGCCTGTCTTGACTCGTGACTTGACTCGTGACTTGACTCGGGACTTGAGGGCAATGAATTGAGACTGACTTGTGACTTGCTAAACAATGACTTTGTCCCACCTCTGGAGTGTGGGCGTGTGAGTGTGTGTCTGTGTGTGAGTGTGGGCGTGTGCGTGAGTGTCTGTGTGTGAGTGTGGGCGTGTGCGTGAGTGTCTGTGTGTGTGTGAGTGTGTGCGTGTGCGTGAGTGTCTGTCTGTGTGTGAGTGTGGGCGTGTGCGTGTGTCTGTGTGTGTGTGTGTGTGTGTGTGTGTGGGTGTGTGGGGGCGTGCATGTGCGTTTGGGCGCGGTACACTAAATTATGAATGAGCGTACACCTGCGGGGGCACGGAAAGGGGAGAGAGGTCTGTTTGGGAAGCCATAATTTTTGTTGACCGCTATTGATTGATTTATTTTGCTATTTTCTCTGGCTTAAGTTTATTCACTAATTTTTTCTGTATAATCACCACGCATTTTTGGCCTGTGACCGCTGCGTTTATTATTAATTAAATCAATGTCATCGCAACTGGATCCAGCCTTCGTTTGTTTTCTATACTAATTTAGCGCGTCATACAATTTTACCGGACCCAACTCGCCTCTCCGCGGCTTTAGGCAACAGGCAGCCGCTATAAACAGGTTTTGTTGTTTAACCCAAAGAGCAATTACAGACAAGACGCGTTTGTGTAATTAAGTCATTTTTAGGGTAATTGTACGTTGTTGAGTGCATATACTCAAAAACTTTTGACATTTTTATTTCAAAAGGCTGTAACTTAAAAGTGATAGGAGAGAAAGACTTTCTGTAAATGACAGAATTATTAAGGATGGCCAAAAGTTTATGTAGGGAATAAGTGCACCCATCTAATTAGCATATTATGACGTCATATGGCGTTGGAAATTGTGGATTTTAGAATTTTCATAAAATGTGTCTATTTGCTACATCTGTCTCTTGTCTTCCCTGCTCTCTCTCGTCCCCGCTCTCTCTCTCCTCTCCCCCGTTCTCTCTCCTCTCCCCCCGCTCTCTCTCTCTCCTCTCCCCGCTCTCTCTCTCCTCTCCCCCGTTCTCTCTCCTCTCCCCCGTTCTCTCTCCTCTCCTCGCTCTCTCTCTCCTCTCCCCCCTCTCTCTCTCCTCCTCCCCTGCTCTCTCTCTCCTCGCTCTCTCTCTCCTCTCCCCTGCTCTCTCTCTCCTCTCCCCCGCTCTCTCTCTCCTCTCCCCCGCTCTCTCTCTCATCTCCCCCGCTCTCTCTCTCCTCTCCCCCGCTCTCTCTCTCCTCTCCCCCGCTCTCTCTCTCGTCTAACACCAGACAAAGGCTTCTCCAACACGTTACTGTCCCGGTGATGACGGGAGGCACGATAATACATCTGTGGGAGGCACTATTTGCGGAGATTTTACCGGAGACTAGCAGAGGCTGGAGTCGCGGCGCCCCGACGTGACTTCCAGGCTTGTTCTCCGCAAATCTAACCTGTCTGCGAACCTCCCAATGACAGCCCTGACCCTGAGAAACACTGTTCCCACTGACTCTGTGCAAAGTGTCTAAAGTTAGTGCGGTACAACACTCGCACGCTCCCTTCGCGTCGCTTTTCTGCACTGGTTCAACGCGGTCTTGCTCAAATAATTGCCTCCACCGTAGACTGTATTAAAAATGACCACCTTCGCCACACCCTGCTCTTCTTCTGTGGAGTTTTACGGCAGTGTGCATGCAGTGTTGTGTAGTTCTGTGGTGCATGTGCGTCCGTCCGCTCAACCATAGAACTACAAGAATGCGCCCAACTCGCGCGCTCGATGACGTATTAATCGCGCGACACAACGAATCAATAACCAAATTCGATTTTTATCGATATTATCGATTCGTTTTTGCAGCCCTACACACAACACATGAAATAATAACTGTTAATTAAAGACGCAAGCGGCATCGAACGGCCCTCGCCGCACCGCACCACAACGCCCTGCACCATGCCGCCTCACACTACGCCGCCCCGCACCAAGCCGCATTTTTTTTCCATTTTGCAGTGAACTTCATGGGCTTCCTGTTTGTCAGAGGGCGGGGCCATAATAATATTTGGAACATGTGTACTGAATTTCATGGCTCTACGACAAACTTGATCTCCAAAACTCACATAGGGGTATTATTTTGGCTGTTGTAGGTGGCGCTGTTCTGGCATTTTTTGAGTCCCATAAAAATAAACACCAACATTTTCATCAAATTTTTCACCAGGTCTGATTTTTGGGCAAAATGTAACAACTTTTCAGTCATGTTCAGGGGTGAAATTAAGGCTCAAAGTGCAGAAGAAAAAAGAAAGAAAGAAATGTTTTGGTCTCGAGCAAAAACAATATAGGTTTCAATGGCACGTGATACATCATTTTAAAGCGTTTGAGTTTACGCACGCAACTGTCATGTTGTGGTGAGTGGCGGGCGTTGACGCGTCCGTCACAAACCGCCACCATTTGCATTCACCATTGTGAAAGCAATAGGCCCTTACCCCGTTCGGGGCTCTGACCTAATTAATTAGAATAAAGAGACAATCCTTCAGGTACATGCACAGATAAACAGAACTGTTTTCAGTCTGGATTTGAACATTGAGTAGAAACCTGTCTCACATTTTCAGGAAGATTGTAACTGCATAAATCTGGACACTGCCTCCCCATTCTAATAATATAAGACTTCAGAGGTGCCGTCAGACCTCTGAAGCTAAAGACAGGGTCTGGTTAGTAATTCAATTCAATTACATTTATTTTTGTATGTAGCTCTAAATCACAACATCAGTCGCCACAGACGACTTTACAAAGTTGTCGATTAAAACAGTTCAGAAACAAGAAATGCAAATACACAGGAGCCATTGGTCCATAAGGAGCGGTAGACCCAGGACTGAGGCTGTAGACCCAGGACTGAGGCTGTAGACCCAGGACTGAGGCTGTAGACCCAGGACTGAGGCTGTAGACCCAGGACTGAGGCTGTAGACCCAGGACTGAGGCTGTAGACCCAGGATTGTGGCTGTAGACCCAGGATTGAGGCTGTAGACCCAGGACCGAGTCTGTAGAAGTGGCTCTTATACAGGGTGGGGGGTGTAGCCCACAGGTCGGGAGGAACCAGCTTTAATTGCAGAACACAATGTTTGATGTTGAAAGAGAACTGTGTCATTTCTCACTTCTACCACCATCAATGTCAAACATATTTTTATTATTTGACGTGTCTTTGTTGTGTTTGTGGCAGATCTACAAAGTCCATCTACAGAATGGGGTTCACCTGTGATCAGTGTGGAAAGACCTGCAGCTCTGCTTCTGATCTAAAGAGACACCACAGAACTCACACTGGAGAAAAACCATACGAGTGTGATCTGTGTGGAACATGTTTTTCTACAAAAAGAGGTCTCATGGTCCACAGCAGAATCCACACTGGAGAAAAACCCTTCAGCTGCGACGATTGTGATCAGAGTTTTAGACATGAGGATACTCTCAAAGCTCATCAGAGGATCCACACAGGAGAGAAACCATTTGAGTGTGACCAGTGTGAGAAAACATTTAGGACCAAAGACCAGCTCTCACTACATCAGCATGTCCACACAGGACAGAGACCTCACCAATGTGACCAGTGTGAAAAGACTTTTACACTATCATCTGCCCTCACTGAGCACTACAGAATCCACACTGGAGAAAAACCATTCGTCTGTGGAGACTGTGGGAAGACGTTTACTCAGTCTTCACACTACAAAAGTCATGAGAGAATCCACACTGGAGAAAAACCATTCGTCTGTGGAGACTGTGGGAAGAAGTTTACTCAGTCTTCACACTACAAAATACATGAGAGAATCCACACTGGAGAAAAACCATTTGCATGTGATTTCTGCAGTAAAACTTTTAAAACAGCAGCAGAGCGCACAGTTCACCATCGGAGCCACACTGGAGAGAAACCCTTCAGCTGTGACGTTTGTGATCAGAGTTTTTCTTACAGTGGTTCTCTCAAAGTGCATCAGAGGATCCACACTGGAGAGAAACCACTCGTCTGTGAAAAGTGTGGAAAGTCTTTTATTTATGGATCATCTCTTCGTAAACACATTAAAACGTGTAGAGAAGCAGGTCTGAAGAATCTGGAACAAAGTGAAGGAGACAGAGCTGAGGCTGCGTCACGTGAACCCAGAGTCAGACTCTACAGGCTCTCACTTCAGTCTTAACTCGTGGTTTTGGAAATAATCAATTCTGTTCAGTATCACCATATTTAGTTCTCATGATACAGTGGAGGAAATTATATATTCAATGTAAATATCTGTTTTATTTTCAAGTTTGAGCTTTCTGTTCCTCTGATGTTTGTTGTTCCTCTTTGACGTCTGTTTGTTGTGACTATGATGTCTTGATTAAATTACTGTACATTTGAGTTGAGTCTTAGGCTGAGTTTACACGGAGACAATGTGGCAGTAAAACGATATAGTTGGATGTCGGTTGCTACCAACCGTTCATACGGAGACTGTGTTTCACTTCAAAACGTAAGTGTTCAGATCCAGCCTGCAGAGTGTGACAACTCAGATACGCTGCACAGCGGGGGCTCTCTTTCACACTCGCGAGAGGGAGAAAGATGTGAAATCCCCCTCTGCTCTGACCCCCACCTCCCCGCTGCTCCCCGCACGTACATTTGGACATGTTCGTTCGTTCAAACGAGACCAAACGAAGCTCTAGGTTCAGTTTCCATTTTCACAGCTGCTGTTAAAATGCAGAATGATGTTGGTACGTTCTGAGGGTCTGGCACAGGAAGTGAGTATACTGCCGAGAGGGGGGGCTGGGCACGGGGCTGGGAGTCGGGTGAGTGTTGTAAAGTTTCTCTGCCCACTACTGGCCGGGCGCTAGAACTACATCGTTTTACAAACTCGTATGTACGCTGAGAAGTTTGCATTAGGAGCCTGGTCGTTTCTGATAATAGTCTGGAAACGTCTGCGCAGCGTCTCAGTATAAACTCCTTAAACGCCTTATTTTCCTCCATGTTTATAAAGTCTTTGTGATTCATGTCCTTGATATGATCCAATCAATCACAGAATCAAATCACAAAACTGTCGCAATATTGTAAGAATCTCAGTAATATTGAATTGTGGCACAAATATCACTGTTCAAAGTCCGTCACTACATTTCCCATAATGCATCTGTTAATAATGTAGTTCCCAAGGAGCCGTCTCCCGTGGCCATGTTCAGAGCAAGCCCCATTGATCCAAGATGGCGCCTTATTCAAATGAACGGCTTGTGCTCAGTAGTGCATGGGACTTCACGGCGCTGACAAACTAGCACAGTGGTTCTCAAAGTTTTTACACCAAGTACCACCTCAGAAAATACTTGCCTCTCCAAGTACCACCTCAGAAAATACTTGCCTCTCCAAGTACCACCTCAGAAAATACTTGCCTCTCCAAGTACCACCTCAGAAAATACTTGCCTCTCCAAGTACCACCACAAATGACTAACACTATGCAGTAGCGTAGTAAGCCTAAGTATTCATCAAAAACAAGCAGAGGTTTCATTCCTGTTAATAAATTGTATGTGTATTATCATATTAATAAATGTGTGTAGACTAGTAGGGTCTAGTTTAGTTAACCAACTCATGTGGAGGGTGGTGAGATGCAGCATTCTCCCAGCCCCAGGCAAGAGTAAAAGACTAGACGTATAAACAAGCAAAAAGCCGAAACATCTGTGAGTAGATCTCATGAAAGAAGTCACTTCTTCTGTTGGAAGAGAGGATTGTTTTCGAACCTAGAGTTCAAAGGTCATATTGTCACATGTGTTTCAGATCTTCATATCCTGTTACCTCTGGTATAGACTGGCAGGCTTCACTGTGAGCGGGGTCTTTTTGCTTTGGCTCTCGTCCGTGCAGTTAGACCCAGGCTGCTGCCTGTCTTTTACATGTATTCTGTTTTATATATTAAACCTTCTTTTATATCTATCTAAGTTTGTAGTTTCCATTCTTTCATCGGGCGACTGTTTAAGGACCACCCGGGCTGAACTAGCCGTAACAATTCCTAAAGAAGTATATTTAATATTGTCAGCCATTGTTATCATTTTACACAGTTTCAACAGTAAGACTGCTCTTAAATATGGAAAAGAAAAACTAAAAACTGTACTTAAATAATAAATCAATTAAAATGTTGAATTCAGTAGGAACTGCAAATTGTGATTTAAATGTTAGTAGTTTATATAATGATGATGATGATACATTGGTTTTATATAGCGCTTTTTTCGGCCTCTCCCACCACCAACCACTCACACACACACCAGACTCATTCTAATGTGGGGGAAGTGTCTTGCCTAAGGACACAACGGCAGTTTGGCACTTTACAGCCGCAGCCACCCCACTGTGGCATCAGGTGTTCCCAGAGGTTAAGTGTCTTGCCCAAGGACACGACAGCAGACAGTGGGAGTCAATGGTGAAAGTCTTGAGGTGGGCTCGAACCCATGACCTTCTGGCTCAAAGGCCAACGCCAGCTCTACCAACTGAGCTACTGTCGCCCTTTATAGTGTTTTTGTTGTTCTGAACACTCAGCGATTTTAGGAACGAGTTCAATATGTCTCTAGTCTCACACCAGAGAACATCTGTGGCATGTTAGTACCACATGTACTAAATTTGGACCCTGAGGAGCACAGGGACCGGCCTCCTGCTGGGACTCTGAGGAGCACAGGGACTGGTCTCCTGCTGGGACTCTGAGGAGCACAGGGACTGGTCTCCTGCTGGGACTCTGAGGAGCACAGGGACTGGCCTCCTGCTGGGACTCTGAGGAGCACAGGGACTGGTCTCCTGCTGGGACTCTGAGGAGCACAGGGACTGGCCTCCTGCTGGGACTCTGAGGAGCACAGGGACTGGTCTCCTGCTGGGACTCTGATGAGCACAGGGACTGGCCTCCTGCTGGGACTTTGAGGAGCACAGGGACTGGACTCCTGCTGGGACTCTGAGGAGCACAGGGACTGTTCTCCTGCTGGTCCCAGAGTCAGGACTAAACATGGGGAGGCTGCATTTCAAATGTATGTAGCTAAAATCTGACAAACACACGTTGTAATGTACTGTGATTATTTATTAATGTAGGGTAACTACTTATATGTAGGGTAATAATACTACAGATTATGTTATAAATTTAGTATGAATTTGGTAGCGTGGAGCGGCTAGTCTCCGGAGCGGAAGCTCGCCGTTCCACCAACAGGTCTGTGTTATTTATTTTGGGCACCAGCAGAGTTAGAAATCTGCGCACAGACACACCAAATCTTTGCCTCGATCAGTCTTATGAATCTAATAGGTAGTGAGTACTTTTATCGGCCAGGGATATACCGAGATCTAACAACACGACTCTGACGGGGTTGAGTTAAAGAAAAGGGTTTTATTGATTACAAAAGTGAAGGTAAAAATATAACGAAGAGGATTTCTGGTCACATTAAAGCAGAAGTGGTATACATTTCATTCAAATCGCACATTTAACAAAGAACAGTCTTACTTTGAAGGAGCGTAGAGGGAGGTGGGTGACTGGGATGAGGATGGAGTGGAGGATGAGAATGAAGAATAGGGTGGAGGCGATGTCGTCCACGTGGTTTCTTTGTCCGGGCAGGCGGGAATTATGAAGCCAGCGACGGCAGTCCAACTTTGGATCCAGGCGTGCACACTCAGTCCGGAATGAGTCACGTGCGCAGAGTCCAGAGCCAGGGCCGGCTGGTGATGAAGAGTTCATAAATCCCAACCAGAAAATAGGTTTGCTTGAAAGGGAAAGTCTCGATGCGGACGGGCACAGTCGTTGCTGGAGGCCCGTACTGGTGCCGCCGCAGAGTCGATAGGGAGGTTGCGATAGTGATTTCAGGAGAAGGCAAGAGGTCGTTCTATGGCATTGTTCGTGTTTATATTGACTTCCCAGGGGGGCGTGTCCATGCCGCCCCTGCCCTCTGTGGACAGACCCCTTTTACAACAGACAGTTTGTAAAGGAAACACACAGGATTGATGCTAATAATCATAAGACATGTACAAACACACACCGTATTTCATTACTTTGACATTGATACACACATATGGGGCACAATGCAGATTATTGGAGTACTGGACCCAGGGGTGCCGGTTCGCAATTGTCCGTCCCGGGTGTGATAGTGTCCATTGTTCACAAGGGGGCGTCAGAGCGCCGCGGGGGAGTCTTTGATTGTCCGGTGGCAGGAGTCTGTGAGCGAGAGCAGGGTTGTGATCTTTGATCTCTACAGGCAGGCAGAGACAGGGGTGCTTATCCCCGTGGTGACTTTATTGCTCTTTT